CACCGCCCGGTCCCTGGGCCACCCTTATCATTGTTCATTTAGTTTGAACCCCTGGGGGCTGCCAGTGTCAATCCATCTCCTCGTGTGGCCCCTCCACGACCTTTTTGCTTGGCAGCACCAAAACGCTAGCCTGTAATGATGACAGGCTGGGAGACCCTCTGGGGCAGTTCCACTCTGTCGCCACATGGAGTCGCTGTGGGTCCAAAATGGAATTGACACTGACAGAAATTGGGAAGGTGCCCTGGGGGGCTATCCACTGCTCGGTTGGCAGTTCAAACCCAGCCCCCGCTGCTGCGCCTCAGGAGAGACGTTAAGACTGTCTGCCTTTGTCAAGATCAACAGACCCAGAGAGCTGCTGGGGCGGGTCTATTCTGTCCTCTAGCTGCGCTCCCGGTCCGAATCACTTCATGACAATGGCTTTGTTTGCGGGGTTTGGACACCAGGCACCATGACAAGGAGTGAGCCTTTGAACCAGCGGTTTTCCAAAAAATTTTTTTAAATAAATAAACAAATAAATAAAAACCAGTGGTTCTCAACCTGTGGGTCATGACCCCTTTGGGGGGTCGAACAACCATTTCACAGAGGTCGCCCGATTCATCACAGTAGCAAAATGACAGTGATGAAGTAGCAACAAAAATAATTTTATGGTTGGGGCGGGGCGGGGGTCACCACCACACGAGGAACTGTGTTAAAGGGTCTTGGCATTAGGAAGGTTGAGAACCACTGCTTTAAACCCTCCCAAGCACCGATAATCCCATTTCACCAATGGCGACACTTGAGGGTCAAGGTCACACAAGGGCGTGATGCAGACTGGACAAGCCACTGCTGCCAGGAGCACCAGCCTTGGGGCTCCGGGTAGCCTCTCCTTCTCTGTCCCAGATTTAGCCAGCAGGAAGGCCTGCTTGGTTGGTAGGGGGTGGGGTGGGGTGGGGTGGGGGTCGCGGGAGGGGGATATCAAGGTTCAAACCTGGACTCCGGTTTACTAGCCCGGTGACCCCAAGCAAGTGATTTCCCTTCTCTGTGCCTCAGTTTCCTCATCTGAAGAACGGGAACAATCCTGGCTGGGAAAAGGAATTCCACAAGTGCCTACTGTGTGTAGTGACACTCTAGGTGCTGGGGTTCCTCCCCACCCCACCTCTAGGGGTGGCCCCTTTGCTACGACGAGACAGAAAGCTCCCTGCTCTCCTGCGAGAGGCAGGTGATGGGCCTGTCCATTCAGGCTCCGGTGTGTCAGAGGGTGGTGTGAGCAGAGGCAATGCAGCTGGTGAAGAGGGCAGGC